GCTCATAGGTTAGCGAGATTAGCAGTAGGAAGTACTGAAAGCAAATAATGAGTGGAAGAATGTCCAGAACACATTGCCTCAGTTGTTGAAAGGGATTGTAATACTTTTTAAAGCTTTAATGAATATTCCAAAATTTCAAAAAATATAAAAAGCAAGTCAATTAAAAATGCAAAAAGAGATTATAATATATCTAATAAAATATTTTAAAATTTAAATAAAATTAAATCAAAATAATTATATACAAGAAACATGGCTTGTATATATATATATATATATATATATATATATGTAAAAAAAATAATATTTTTTTATCAAAAATTTTAATTATATATATAAGATTTATTTTATATCTACATAAAAAAATAAACCTGTTATATAACCATCTTGAAAAGAGAAAAGTTATCAAATAATTTGGTTATTTTATATTAAAAATAAAAAATATATAAAGAAAGTATCAACATATGATTAAACTATATAAAAAAAAGTAGAAACAAAACTTGCAAAAAATAATTGGTACTGGAGTAGAAATAATATGCAATACTTTAAAGCTATGTATTTATAATAGGTTTAATAGACCTAGCAATAAATACAATTAATAAGGACAATTATTATTTTTTGAAAGAATTAGGAAAATAAATATTAAAGTAATATATCAATTAAAATATTAATTTAGCTTTAAATATATTTAAATATGGATAAATATTTAATATTTTGAAACATATTTAAATCATATCTAGGTAAATCCCCATATCATAAAAAACAATCGAGTTGAGTCTATAATTTAAATTAATATCTTCTACAATATATTAAAAGAAAAATTTTCTCTTATTATTGATATCCATGTAAAAGGTAAGTCAATTAAAAACATAAAAGAAACTAAATACAATTTATTATATGACATAGTTTAAATTTTTAATGAAATGAAATCAAAATAATTAAATTTAGGAAATATGACATTGTATTTAAGATTATACATACATCAGAAAATAAACCATTTACAATGAAATTTTTTTATAAAAAATTTTAACTTTTATATATTTATATAAATTTTATTTTATATCTACATAAAAAAGCTAACTCTGTTATATAATCATTTTGCAAAGAGAAAAGTTATCAAATAATATGATTATTTTATAATAAAAGTAAAAAAATTATATAAAAAAAATCAACATAGAATTAAACTATAAAAGCAAAAGAAACATAGAAACAAAACTTGCACAAAAAATAGCTAATAGGAATTGACACAAGTAATTAAGATTTAAAACCCAAGTACAAAGCACCTAAAATATAACTTTCATAATCCTTTATTAAAAGTTGATTTATAAATTCAAAAAATCCGTAATTCTCACTTGCGGGTTGGCAACTTGCTTTGACCTTGAAAATAGGATAACATCCTCTATTCTTAAATTTTTTTTCAAAAAAAAAAAAAAATTGCACAAGATATTGGTATTGGAGTAGAAATAGTTTGCAATGCTCTAGAAGAATGTACCTATAATAGGTTTGATAGACATAATAATAAATACAATTAATAAGGATAATTATTATCCCTTGAAAGAATTTTAGTAAAAGAAATTAAAGTAATATATCAATTAAAATATTAATTTAATTTTAAATATATTTAAATACGGATAAATATTTAACATTTTGAAACATGTTTAAATCATATAATGAAAATTTTGCATGTCTAAAAAAGTCCAGTTGAGTATAGAATTTAAAGTAATATCTTTTGTAACACATTAAAAGAATTTTTTTCTCTTATTTAATCATATATATATATATATATATATGTAAAAGATAAATCAATTAAAAATATAAAAGAAGATAAATATAATTTATTATATTAACTATTTTAAAAGAAATCAAATCAAAATAATTAAATATAAAAATATGACTTTTTTTTAAATTGTATACATGTAAAAAAAAAAAAAAAAAACCATTCACATCAAACATTTTTTCTTTTTATCAAAAATTTTGATTTTTATATATTTATATAAAATTTATTTTATATCTAAATAAAGAGAAATTAAACCTATTACATAATCATTTTACAAAGAGAAAAGTTATCAAATAATATGATTATTTTATAATAAAAGTAAAAAATATATATTAAAGAAAGTATAACATAGGATTAAACTATAAAAAGCAAAAGTAACATAGAAACAAAAATTGCACAAAAAAATTGGTATTGGAGTAAAAATAGTATCAAATATTCTAGAGCTATGTACTTATAATAGGTTTAATAAATTTAGCAATAAATACAATTAATAAGGACAATTATTATCTTTTGAAAGAATTTTAGGAAAGGAAATTGATGTAATATACCAATTAAGATATTAATTTAATTTTATATATATATATATATTTAAATATGGATAAATATTTAACAGTTTGAAACATGTTTAAACCATAACATTAAAAGGTTGAAGTTAGGCCTTTAATTTAAATTAATATCTTCTGCTAGATATTAAAAGAAAATTTATCTCTTATTTATTCATATATTTTTGTAAAAGGTAATTTAATAAAAAACATAAAGAGCGATAAACATAATTTATTATATGAAATATTTTAAAATTTACATGAAATTAAATAAAAAATAAGTAAATGTAGGACAAATGATGTTTATTCAAGATTGTACACATGTCATAAAAACCCATCAACATTGGATTTTTTTATAAAAAATATGTATAATCATTTATATAAAATTTAATTTATATCTATATAAAAAACTAAACCTATTATATAATCATTTAAAAAAAAAAAAAAGACTTACACTAGCGTAATATAATACATTTAAATATGGATAGATATTTAATAGTTTGAAACTTGTCTAAATTATATCATGAAAATTTGCATATCATTTTAAAAAATCGGTTGAGTTTATAGTTTAAATTAAATCTTTTGCAAGATATTAAAACAAAATTTATCTTTTTAAGCAAACGTTAAACAAACACAGGCAAACATTGATTTTACTAAATAGGAAAGTTGAAAAATTAAAAAAATTAACAATTAAAAGAAGATAAATATGAAAATATGAAAAACATTTCTTTCATTGATATGCTTGGTAAAGAAAGCGGAAAAATGAAAAGATATAAAAAGAAAAAAAAATAGAGGTGTATTTGCATTAACTTATGAATATTCATATTAACCTTGATGTGCTTAAAAATTATCCCATAAAATCCAGGCACTTGCGGTATGGGTAAATTGCAATTTCATTGCAATTTGTTCATGGTTGAAAGATGAGACGAAAATTTTCAAAAAAAAAAAAAAAAAAAAAAAGAAGCAGAAAAAGGAAATAAGAAGTGAGGTTCCCTTAATTAACTTTTCTTTTCTACTTGTTTTTTGTCTGGTTTAAAAGCTTTGGAAAGTGTAATATGACAATTTTAATCCTAATAAAGTAATACAATAAAATTAATATAAAAAAATATAAAAATAATATAATTTAAATTTTTAATAAAATGTATTCTTAAGTTTTATAATATATATTGTAATTTTTTACGTATTAATATGAATTTAATATGATAATTTTTTACATATATTTAATATGATGCAAATAAATAAATTATTATATTTAAGAAAGTGCATAATAATTAGGACCGTTGCTTGTTGCTTGCTAAATAATCAAATCCATGCTTCATCCATGATATAAATTTTGTAGAGATTGATGTAAAGGAAATGTGTTCATATGGTACTTTTTTATTTTTTAATTTTAATATTTTTTGTTTATGACTTTTTTATTTTTTGACTTTTCAATTTTTTTTTTGTTTTTTACTTAAACTTTTTATTTTTTTTGTTTTTTACTTAAACTTTTTATTTTTTTGGGGTTTTAACTTTAATTATCTTAATTAGATATATTTTGTAAAAAAAAAGCCAATGAAGATAATGACAAAATAATTCATATAGATGAGTTTTGATTCACCTCAATGCAATGGGTGTATTTTTTTTAAATTTTGAGATCTGGTCGAAATTTTTTTTCTAAAATCAAAGTCAGATCAAAAATAAATTTAAAATATTTTACCACAATTTGGGTATATAAAATATATATTTTATTTTACATCCATCTATTTATGATATTAAATTTGCAGATTTTGGAGGAAAGAGAAGGTATCCATATGACACCTCATTATTCCGTAAAACTTTTATTTTTTATTAGATAAATTTTATAAAAATTTTAGAAATAAAGATGATAAAACAATTTGTATCCTATTATTTTGATTCACGTCAATCCAATATATGTGAATTAAAAAAAAAAAAAGAAGAAGATTGGATCGAAGATTTTTCTTTTTAAATGGGGTTAGAACGAAGATAGCTTTAAATTATTTCATCTCATCTCGGATATCCATGTGAAACATCTCTTTTTTTAATTTTTTGATTTTTTTTACTTTCTTTTTCTTTCCTTGAATCTTTTTCATATTAGATAAATTTTATAATAAAAAAATCAATTAAAATAGAAATGAAAAAATAGCCTATAATCGATGAGCTTTGATTTGCCAGACCCAATTGGTGCACTTTTTTTTTTAATTCAAGATAATTAGATTGAGTTTTTTTTTTTTTTAAATTGAGTTAGATAAGAGCAATGTTTTGGGTATTACTTCTCCACTCCAATATATATATATATATATATATATATATATTGTTATTTATTTAATTTTACATTTATATGTGTATTTTATAAAAAAATATTTAATACCTTAATTCAATAAATTCACATGCCACTTCGTTTTTTTTGTCTTTTTTTTTTGAAATTTTGTAAAGAACAAATTAATTGATATAAAAAAGATAAAATAATTCATATCTAATAAATTTCGATTCGACACGATCTAATAGATTTAATTTTTTTTATATTTAAAATATAATTTTAAAAAATTAATAATAATCCCACGATTAAGTGCGGGTATAATTCTAGTTGATGCTTAAAGAAGCAAAACAGTTTCGAGGTAAATTCAGTCTTCGCTTTGTAATCGGAATAGGAATCTACCGACCTAAGTATCCCTTGCGTTTAGAGCTCATATCGTTTCTAAAATCTAAACAACACCTTTTTTTTTTCAAAAGAAAACACAACGAAGAAAAGCTGATCATATTTATTCATAGGCGATTGGGCTCAACCCAACCGCTCAAGCTTGGACTCAATCTTTTGATCCATTAACTAACAATTTATCGGCCCCAAGTCCAACTACCGTTTTAAACCCAGCATTAGTTTTCCACTTTTGAGCCAACGATGAGGAGAGTTGACCGGCAACGGCTTCCAGGTTACCCCTCTCGAAAGAATCAATACACTTTTCAATACCCGGCTTTCCACACCTGTCGGCTAATAACGTGGCTCAGGTGCTCTTCTTCTTCTTTGGCAAGTTTCGAGACCTAGCTAGTCTCATTGGTTCTTCGCCTCTCCTAGAAACTTCTGCTCTGGCCCTCACAATCTTCCCCACGATTCTAGGGACCTTCCGCCGTCGACTTCGGGTATTAATTTTGATTAGGAAATCGTTAAAATATGAACCTATTTCTTTTTCCAATGATTAATTGGAAACAGTTCGGTTCTGCAGGAGGATGAATTTCGTAGAATTGCTAATTGCACAATCTATGACCGTCAAGAAAATTAGGGGTAAGTAACCTTTTTTTCCCTTTAAATGAGCATTTTTGTTTTGATTTTTTTTCTAAAGCTGGTTTTGGGTGTGGCAGGAATATGGTGATATTGTTCAGATTGATGGTCTCGATGTAGATTATGGCGTAAGTGTTAAACTTGGTTTTTTTTTTTTGGAAGTTACTTTGCTTTGCTTTTTGGGTTAACACATCGCTTGCATTTGGTAGAATGAAGTATTGACACTAAAACTTGGGGCTTTGGGCTCCTACATGTTGAATAAACAGACGCGTAATTGACAAATTTGGTCATCTTCACCATGAAGGTACAATTATTTGCTATATTATTATTATTATTATTTGGTTGTGAGAGTCTTAGATTTGCCATTGTGTTCTTTGGAATTGAAGATATTGTGTAGTTTATACTTGTGTCTCCTTGAACGGGGCATGGTTCTTATTTAATCTTTGATACATTGCTTGGAAGTGTATTTTTTATTTTTTTTTTCTAAAGTTGCATGCAGGTTAGGTTGAGCATATAAATAAAGTTTACTGTTTTAATGTCAGCTCTTAATTACACTGGAACTAACTGCATGTTGATATTACAGAAGTTTTATTTTGTCTTTGCTTGAATAATTTTTAGTGATACAAGATGAGGTGAATCAAAGAGTTGTGATGTCATTTTCACTTGGCTATTAATTTGGTTGGTCCAAGACTTTAGATGTATACAGGGAAAGGTGGGTTAGTTGCCAAAAGAATTTTATCATTTGTTGAAACTATTCATGCAGATTTCAGTCGGTGCTTATTTTTTAAGATACAACGAAAATTATCAGGTTTTGGACCTGGTTGTGTTTTCAATGGTCCTTGTATAACTTGGTCCTAGATGATTGGTGGATATGTATATTTGTTAAAAATCAAATATACAACCAAAACTTGAATACTTGATACTGATGCCTTCTGAAGGGGCCTTTTTTAGTTATTTTTAGGTGTGTTAAAAATGCCATTTCCTTTTTCTCTTCTGCTCTTCATAGTAGCCACCGCTGGGCAGCAAAAAGGTTGAATTTTCACGCGTCTCATGGTTTCTCTAAATAAAAAATATGGGTAGGAATGGAAGGGAATCAAGGTCTGCCTATTGCCTTTTTTAAGAAAAAAAAGAAGTTCTGCCTATTTGAAGAAATCAGCGTTTCCTCTTATATTGGACTTACATGGGTACATAATACATTTCAATTGCTTTGAACCCTTTATCTAATTCTTTTCTACTGGGATTGAATTTTACTATTTAGTGGGATCACTAGATTTAGACAGAAGATTAATGTTTCTATATTTGTAGTATTTTGTGTTCGGACTCTAGCTGACGACAATTTTTGCTTACAGCACTTCATGGTCAGACTGTGTGTTTTACCCAATTCTCGTTATGACCATTATATATGTTTCTTGAAGTATAAATGATGTCAAGTTTTTGTCAGTTTTCATGAATTATCCTTTTCTATCTCAAAGGTAATGTTTCCTATGCAGTACTGGTCCATCCAGATTTGACTGGGATCATAATGCTCAAGCTTGGGTTTATCTACGAACTAAAGCAAATTTATTGAAACTTTTGAAAAATGGGTTGGAGCAACTGTGTGGTGAACAAGTCAATCTTTCTAGTTTGTGGTTCCTATGATGCTGGCATAACTTTGTTCCTGATCCTGAAAACTCATTTCACTGCTAAAAGAGGTTGCCTTGAGGTTCTTCAACAAATTATCGGATTCTCAAATCCCTTCTTTGGATGTAATTTTACGATGTGTCCATTTGGAATTGGTCCCAGATAAATTCTGGTTCAACATCCTGTATAGTACTTTTTAACCTAAGCTTCTCCCCTTGTGAAAATGTTTTCTGTGGGGCAAAACTTTGATGATTGGTATAGAGGCCGTAATTTTGGTTTTACCTGCTGGTCTGTTTGCAGATAGCTCTGAAGAAAATGTAGCATATACTTGATGCAAAATAAATGCCGAGGTTGTGGTGGTTAGATCTCGATTTACAGATGTCACTGGTTTGTGTGTTGTGGTGCTTAATTATTATTCTTATCATCATACTTCACCTGCGCAGGAAAAATAAGGGTTAAATTCTCAAATCAGGATAAGCGTAAGTGTTTGGATGGTTGCTTAATTCAAGATTAAATATTTTAATTCGTACAAATAAAGATAAAACGTTATCGATTTATAATAATTTAAGATTTATTTCAACAGAAAAAAAGATATTTATTATATGTGCCGTTGCAACACGTAAAAAGAATAGGGAATAATTAATTAGGAAAAATCATGTTGATTTGGATTTTTTAATTACAATTTAAAAAAAAAATGAAAATTTTTTTAAGAAAAACAAATTTTCATTTAACCCAAATAAATAATTAAATAAAATTAAAAATTCTCAAACCCATAGTAGATCATTGTTAACCTTAATTACCAAAACAAGTTATTTTGATCATCGATCAATTTTATTTGTTAATTTTTGTGAGATAAGAATTTTTTTAAAATCTTATTTTAGGCTAACCAACATTCTTATTTTTATGGTTCAATCGTTTGAGCTCTGAAAATTTAAAAGGTTGTTTTTTTGTTAAATTTGTGTAAGATGAATAATATATACGCATATTTTGGTTATGTTATTTTTTATAATTAACCATTTTGTTGTTGAGAGTTTTTTGTTGTTTTTCAAAGTTAGGCATATTCTGGTTTAGGGTGTTCTATAGTTCTTCATTCTTAGGCATTTTTTTATTTATGGTTTTCTATTATTATTTTTAATTGCTCAAATTTATAGTTAAGGTTTTCTGCTATTGTTCTTAATTGCTTAAATTTATATTTGAGGTTTTTTGTTGTTGTTCTTAATTGCTCGAAATAATAGTTAGGGTTTTCTGTTCTTAATTGGTCGAAATTATAGTTAGGGCTTTCTGCTATTTAAGCATATTTTGTTTAGACATAGTTGTTTATGTAACCTTTTGATTCTTACCTATCACTTAGGCCTCCATTAGTGCTAGTATAAGTGATCACCCATCACTGTTATCTTAATTTATAGCATAAGTGAAGCCAATTAATCAACATAAAAAATAAATGTTATTTAATAATAAAAAAAAAACAACAATTCATGGTAGCTAGGATTATAAATAGGGTTAAATTTAGGATTGAAAATATTTACAACATAAATTTTGTTTAGTAATTAAACTGTTGTATCAAAAGATTGGAATTAAATTTTCACGTCACTACCTAACCAAAAAGATTTCAAAAATATACACAAAAAACCTAATTTTCAAGACATTTCCTAAAATTTTAGTCAAGTCCAATATAAAATTTTAGTCAAGAACAAAAGTTTGATAAGGATAGCCACAAAACCAACCATAGAACCAGCCACAAAATCACCAAAAAGATAACTAAGCTTAAGTATAAGCATGATCACAACCTTAAGTCCATTTTATAAATTATTTTGCCAAAAACATTATCAAATAACAGCATCAAGTCAATCATATGAATTTTAATTTTAAGAATAAAATAAGAAAAAATGCTAAACTTTTGAGTCAGAATGTGCACATAAAAAACGTATTGTAAAAGAAAATTGCATTTCAAAAAAAGACCCTTGGTTATAACATGATTATAACAAAGTAAAAGCTTATAACATAAATTTTATAACAAAGTAAAAAATTATAATAGAAATTAGATAATAATGTAAGGGACATACATACTTAAACTAACTATAATTTTCATTGTTAGGGATTTAGGATTTTTTATAACACTTATAACATAAATTTTTGCTAAAAATGATTCTTATAGCACTTATCAACTGTTGTCGTTGGAATTTAGGATTTATTGTGACAAACTTTAATTTTTTTGGTCTTACAGTGTGAGTTTTGATTATTATTAATGGTCGTAATATGATGTATATAAATGAGATAGTAGAAGAATTGATAGTTGATCCTGATAGGATATCTTATTTTGAGTTGTTAGATACTTGTAATGAGGCTGGGTATATGAATATTAGTGAGATATTATATTTAAAACCAGAAAAAAATTAATAAATGGCTTGATGGTAGTAAATGATGAGTGAAACACTCTTTATATGATTAGGTATATGGTAGATCTAGGTATAGTTGATGTGTATATAGTACATGGTATTGATGAAGCTATTTTAGCTATTGAGTTGTTAACAGGACCTGAAGTGAAAGATGCAGTTGAGGTAGTAGAGAGTGAAACGGTAAAAAATTAACATGTAGTTGATGTAGTAGGGAATGAAATGGTAGAAAATCAATATGTAAGTGAGGCAGTAGGGAATGAAAAGATAGAAACTAAAGAAATGGTTGAAAAAGCAAAGGTAGAGAATGAAGATGTAGCTGAGGCATGAAGGGTAGGAATTAAAGATAATGTTGAGGCAGTAGAGGTAGGAAATGAAGATGTGGTTAGGGCGAAAAAGGCAACAAAGGTAAAAAATGAAAATATGGCTGGGGTAGAAGTTGAAGATGCAACGATAGAAATAGCAGTGAAAGGGATGACCCTAGGATAGAACCAGATTCCACTTCACCAGTTAATGAAAATGTTAATGACGGATATCAAACTGAGTACTATAACTCTAATGAGTATGGTGAGCTTGTCAGTGATAAGAATGAAATGGTTGATACTAGCATAATAAGTAAGTTCTCAATATATGATCCCAATATAAAAACCCCTTACATTGAGTTAGGTATGTTGTTTGAGAATTCAAAACAATTTCAATATTTTGTATCCTTATTGTCTATTAAGACAAATATGGGTATCATTTGGGCAATGAACCATAAAAATTTTGTTAGAGGTAAGTTTGATGCAAAATAATGTCATTGGGTAATTTATGCAACAGATGATAGAAAGATGCAATCATTTCAAATGAAGACTTACCATAACAATCATGAATGCAACAAGATTTTCAAAAACCCAAGGATGAGTCAAGCTATTTTTGATTGAGTTGTACATAAACAGATTTATGAATGATCTTTTTATTAATAATGCAAAAGTGCAAGAGTTAGTTAGGAAAGCATTTGATACATGGATGAATATTAACATGATAAGAAAGACTAAAAAAAGATGTGGCTAATAAAGTTATTACCAATTATAAGGATGAGTTTGAACTTTTATAGGATTATGCTGATATGATTAAAGAAATTAATGAAGGCAGCACAGTGAAAATGCAAGTTCATAGGCCATTGACAAGTTTTTTACTTATATTTGAAAGGTATTACATATGTTTTGGGGCATTTAAAAAGGTTTAAAGAGTGGTTGTAGGCCTTTTTTGGGACTAAATGGTTGTTGGCTTAAAAATTTGACAAAATGTGAGTTACTATGTGTTATTGGTAGAGATCTAAACAATAAAATGTTTTCAGTGGCTTGGGTGTTAGTGGAAGTGAAATGCATAACTTCATGGAAATGGTTTCTTGATTTGTTGAAATCAAACCAGGTGTCTTTGGAAAATGGTATAGAATGGACAATCGTGATAGATCAACAAAAAGTAAATATTTATATATTGATTTAAATTAAATTAAATTATGTACTGAATACTTTAACTAATTAAATGGTATAGGAACTTGATAATGCAATTGCAAAATTGCTTTCAGATATTGAACATAGATTTTATACTAGGCATGTATCTGCTAATTAAGCTAAAAGGGGACATAAAGGTGAAGAGATGAAAAGGGCTTTCTAGACATTGCTAAGTCTTCAACAGTCAGACAATTTAAAGAAAACATGAGAAAATTACAGAAAAAAAATTAGACTACAACTGTAGACATAATAAAAGCCCCACTTCAGCAATGGTGTGAGCCTTTTTCAACATAGACTCTAAATGTGAGTTGATTGATAACAACTTATATGAAGCATTCAATGGGATATTGCTAGATGCAAGGAAAAAATTAGTGATTTCTTTATTTGAAGACATATAAAGGCCTCTGATATAAAAATTGAGAGGAAAAAAAAAGAATGCTCTAAGTGAAAAGGTGTGATTGGTTTTAACATTATAAAAATGATAGAAAAAAATGCAGCTATAGCATCATAATGTGTAGTTGCATTTAATGAAGATGTTGATTATGGAATAGATGTGGGTGTAGATAGATTCATTATCCAACTTGATGAGAAAACATATAGTTGTAGAATGTACCAATTTTTTGATATTCCATGTGCACATGCCATATGTGCAATTAGAGATCTAGGTAAAAATATTAAAGATTTTGTATCTAGTTGGCATCATAAGGAGTTGTATTTACAGTTTTATAGTAATTCTTTACAATCTATGCGTGGGAGAAGGTTTGGGCCAAACCAAGGATAGAAGATAATATTTTACCCCCAGAGTTCAGAAGATGCCAAGTAGGCCTAAAACCAGTAAAAGAAAAGATCATGATAAGCTTAAGAAAAAAAAGCCCAATAATTTAATACATCTATCCAATAAAGGGCTTGATAATGACATGTAAACTATATCATCAACCAGGCCACAACAAAAGAAGCTGTCTTGTGGCAGACAATCAGGTAATTTTATTTTTATTAATTATTATAAACATTGTACCATTTATAGATCTTCTATTATTAAAGTGTATTAACCCATCAATGTAACTTTATTGTTTTGTCTATGATAACAAGATTATTATGTGCTCAGATCTGAAGACTAGAATATGAACCAAAGTGCATCAAGTACTGTAGATCATATTAAAGCTACACACGATCCAAGCAACCATGCTACTGCTTATGGTGCTTTCGCATCAGCTTTTGCTTCTGCTTCTGCTTCTGCATCCAGATCTAGTTATGCATTTGTATCTGTTTCAGCTAATATAAATGGTTTTGCATTTATAACTGTAACAGCAATTGCAACTGCATTTGCATCTACATCTGCATAAGCCCTAAATCCAGTTTCAAATCTAACTTCAACAAATCCAGTTTCAAATCCAGTTTATTCTAATTTCAACTCCAACTTCAGATCCACTTTTTATTTCAGTTTCAACAAACATTTCAATTCAGTCAATGCTGTTGCTTTTATTGTCATTGAAAATACAAAATTGAAGTCTAAAAAGCCAACAAGATCTATTGAAAGATGTTTTACAGATAAGGATATGAGACTTTATGGGATGATTGGTAGAAAAATAAGTCCCTTATCAAAGTCTAACTCTTTTACAACAATCACTGGGAAGAGAACAATTTCAGCAAATAGCATTATAAGTCATAATGATAAGCACACTATTAAAGCTACCACCAAAAGTAAGACAAAAGTCTTGCAAGGTTATGGATTATATACAAACTTAGAAATAGGGAGAAAAATCTTAAATGTGAGAGATTCTTTATCAAATATATATATTTTATTTTTTTTCTTAAATATTATTCATTATAACTTGATAAATGTTATTCAACAGGCTGGATTGAGAAGTGAGAAAGTGATAGTAGTTGAGACAAGCAAAGGCAAGAGGAAAGGTTGTTGAAGATGTAATTGGTACTCAAGAAAGTCAAATTCTTGCTTTTAAAAGAAATAAGGGGAAACAAAAAATTTGAAAAGTTGATTTCTGTTCTATTAACTATTGCTGCTAACTATTGATGTTAATTTTTTTTCTTGTTAATGTTGTAAGAAAACTTTCTATTTAGCTTTCTGTTGGTTGAATGTTTTCTATACTGAATGTTGAGTAAGAACACATTTTGTTAACATTCATCATGTTGCTTTATTATAAGATTACCTCTATTATCAGATTACTTCAAATTACTTTCTAGTTACATATTGTAAGTTGAATATATTGCACTAAATTATATTTTTACATATAATAACATAAAGTAATAGAATTCACAGGGCTAAATGCTCATTGATATAAAAAGAGTTTTAACAAATATTTACAGACCCTTATAACAATCTTAACTCACTATCAAGCATGTAAGTTAAGTTTTCAAAAATTTTTTGGCATTGAAAAAGATTACACAGAACATAAGTATAAAAAGAATGAGATAAGCCAAATTATTTTTTAGTTGCCATCTCTACCATGTCTACCACCAACAATTTTATTGATTTCTTTCAATTGCAATGTCAAAAAACGAACATCCATCGTCAACTGCATATTCTTTACAATAACATCAGCTTTACCAATATTTTTCTTCCATTTTGAAACCTCATATTTCAAACTTTGAACATGACTATATAAAATTTTTCTTTTTTTTTGTTCCAAAATAATCTCTTTTGCTTTTTTATAAATTTTAGGATCATGCCATAAATAAAATCCAACAAACAGTGCCCTATAATCACACTAAAGAAATATCAGTAAATAAATTTCAGTAAAAGCACCCAAAAAATAGTTGTAAATTTACCATCTTACAATCACATCAAGAAAATATCAAAAAGCAAATACTAGTAAAAATATAAAAAAATACCAATAAAAATACCAAAGAAATATCAATAAATTTATCGAATAATGTGGACTTCTATAAAATCTTCTACCTAGATTGCTATTCGCCCATGGAATCTACCTAGCTACCGTCATATTATAGTAACAGAAAATGAGTTCTTCTTCAAAGTCCCATTCTATAGGGTAACTAGCTGAAATTAATTTATACGTGTTTATATTATAAGACCCTCCCCTAGAAATACTGTAATTTTGATATTTTGAAAAATAAATTCAAAGAAAATTAGAGTATGAGAAAAACTCAAAATTTATATTAACCTTGAATTTACACTGTTAGATGAATTGATATTTAAAGAAGATATTATGTTTAAATGTTATTTCAACAAAAATTTTTTTCAATTTACGATAAAAAACGAAAAGAAACTAGGAGAAAACCCTAAACTAAAGTTATCTCACAGACAAAAACGATAAAGAAGAAAGCTAAAAAAACATAATAAGCTTAAAATATAACTAGAATAAGCTGAAGTTATCATTACACATGAATAAATTAATTTTACGTGATATTTTTTCTGTGATGATTTTTACACATGAATAATTTAATAGTGTGTAAGATATACATCTTTTTTTTTTGTTGAAATAAATTTTATATTATTACAAGTTGATAATATTTGATTTTTATTTATATGAATTAAAATAATTAATCTTAAATTAAATAATTATTCAAATGTTTGATTTTGTTTTGAATATTTAACCAGAAACAAGCATATAGATTTTGGTAAAGTGTAAATGCCTCGTGTACACTCGACTTGGAGCTTTCTATTCTTAGATTAGAATATTATTTTGCAGCTGGCCTGACCCAAGTGAATGGCCTAAAATTGAGACGTGAGAGACGAGACGAACGGCCATTATCCAAGGCCGAAGGGTAGTCAATCAGTGATATATATATATATATATATATATATATATTCAAATACATTCTTCAGTCATTGTCTAAGATGGGGAGGTCATCGTCAGCAACAGAATCGTAAGATCAATCAAAGACCCTCGAGAAGATTTTCTTGGCATTCCAACCCCTACACCAAATCTCCACCGCAAAAACTCACAGCTCACTTGATCCTTTTCTTGTCACCCAAGTGATTCTTTAATCTTTAATGGCACCCGCCTTAGGACCTAGCAATTTCAAATTAAAACAAGGTGATTAGAAATGTCTTGATTAGAGCTAGGATGCTCCTTCTACCACAATTTCTATATGAGGAGCACAAATTTTTTTACTATATTTTATGTTGTGGGTTGATTATGATTAATATTAACATATCGTAAATGACAATTAGTGTTAGTTTCTAGTTGCAAAGAGGTTGCATTCCTTTCGCGTTAAGCTTTTTCTATTCCCGTTCCTGTCCGGTGAAAAAAATTTTGTTCCCTACCTGATGTGATGGCCGGCCATAATCTGTACATGAAAGAAAGATACAAATCTTTTGTTTATTGCATTAAATTCCTGGTGGGTCAGAGCATAAGCTCCTAATTAAATCATTAACATTAAGCAAACAAAATATCTTCCTACCGTATTGTCTAATAAACTTACAAAACCCCCTTACCAACAAGAAAAGTAAGAAATTGGCAAAAATACAAAAGAGATTACCTATAAACAAACACAAACAAAGCAATAACTCACAAGTTCATCCGTTCCTCAACTAAACGGAGAAAATAGTTCTCGTCTGGTTGCAACTACCATCCTATATTGATCAAAGTTTCTCGTAAAATGAACCAATAGCTCGAGTTGCAACGGAAACCACACAAACATAAAACGTACGTGGGGGCACATGAAATGAGCTTGTTAGGCAATACACAAGTACATGCTCCAGAGTTATAGCGTGGCTGCTTGTTATGGGAAGATGGGCCTTGGGAGTTGATTTTTCGGGATATAAGGTTGAGAGTGCTTGGCACACACAAGGCTAGCTAGCTCAGTATATTTTAAAAATTTCAATTTCAACTGTATTTTGCAGGGTAGCCACAAAACCTCACAAAGGGCAGAGTTCCCAGGTCGTGGCTCCATCCCATCACCCCACTGGATACATGGAGGGGCTTTGGTAATTGTTATACGTGCCCTGGGACTGTCCATGACATTTCCCTGACAAAAACTGACGTCCATAGCACTGATGATTCAGTGAGAAGTCTCATCTAATGGATGTCGTTCAAAGATTTAAGGGACAGAGAAAGACCTTTCTCAGTTCCCTGCACCTCTACTGCTTTGTAGATTCACACTCTCGAGACATAGCCTAAAGGCTGCTAATTGCTGAAAGCTGCCTGCCTTGCTGGGAGCATCGCCATCCACACACAGCATTCATATTTTCCGTACATTTTGATTTACAAGAAAGACATGTCAAATATGCCTTACATTAAAAACAAAAAAAAAAAAACAATACCACAACACTACTACTACATATAAGAATCAACATCGGTCCAAGATAATCCACGAGCCACGTCATATCCAGCAAAAATCAGAATTACAAAAAACTACTAAAAGGGTCAACATTCCATCAAAACATTAATCAAAGACTATTGTAAGAATAGGTTAGATCATCCGAAATATCAGGCCACAGTCCCAAACCTACTCTAATCGACGGCTAAGGGATTTTAATTGCTAACAGATTAGCATTTTTTACGGGATTATTATATCAGGCACTAATTTTTTCCTAAAGGCTCGGTACTGTGCGCATCTCTCTGATCGGACTGAAGCTGAACCGGACCCTCCGGATTGATCTGTTGGTCTTTCCACAGCCTCATAGAGTCAACAGAAACGGCTTCCTCCTCTGGTCTGCACCGAGACGCCAAAACAGTACGGCAATCGTACCTCCGTTTAGGAGACAAACGATCCAGATCGTCCTATAAAAATCAATGACAAGAAATCTCAACCATTTATTTCATGAAAAAGATGAGAATGAAAAGAAAAAGAATTTAAAATGAAAAAAACAAAGAAATAACAAGAAATAACCAGAGATCAAAAGAGCAAACCAACCTGAGAACGAACATGTAACGCATTTTCTCTCAACCTTTTCAACGAAAACCAATTTGTTGACTTATAGAAATCTCTTTCACCACCACAAGGATCTTCGCTACTAGATGAACTGGAAGCCGGTGGAGGTGTATTTGATATTGTGGACCAATTATCTCCGTCCTCTACATCAACATCAACTGACACGTCATCATTAGAATACGATTCTTCTTCTTCATCGTCGTCGTCGTCATTTTCATCTTCTCTCTCTTCTCGCTCACAGCTGTTAACGCACCTCTCGCAGACAGAGACAGTGTGACCAAGCTTGGCACCAGCGGCTCTCCACTGAGTGCGAGACTGGCACGTGTGACAGAGAAGACACCTCACGTGTCTCGCCACGAGAAAGTTGGCTCCATGAACTTTAGCGTCGCAGTTCCAGCACAAACTCGCTTGGTCGGATTCACAATACGTTCTCGCCGCCAACCTGCAGATCTCACAGCTCTTCATTTCCTTTCTAAATCGACCAGATCAGAAAGAGACGTTTTGGCAATCTATCTGCGAGTTTCTTCTTCTTTCGTTTTCTTGGAGATTTATTTTTCGTTTCTGTTTTTCTAGAATTTTCTCTCTCTTGTGTATGCAGACTGCAGATAATGAGTGATTTAGAGGAAAGAGAATAGAATCGAACAACTTGCAGTGGCTTATAAGAACATCCTTGCTTTTGCATACAATTACAAAATTGCCTTTAATCCTGCCCGCAGTTAACCACCCAAGCACCACCACTCGCATGATGTAGTGTTTATAAAACATATTTAATTAATTATTTTCTTAATTTATACGAGTTCTAGGTAAATGAAAATACTTTTTCACGCTGCACTTTTATTCTTTATTATTATTTGTTATATATAGATAATATTTTATAGAATATTATATATAAAGTATTTGACTAAATATTATAAACATATATATTTATATCTTTTTTTTTGTTACACACGAATTTCAATTTGAACAAAATAAAAACTAATCACCCATTGTCTAAGTAACTTCCATTATTTTATCTTCTTTCATGTAGGTAAAGGAAGGAGTGTTTCAAATTTTAATTTAATATTAATTAAAAATAAATATTAAAAAAGGAAAAGAAAGGGAGCAAACATATAATTTGAAGTGGCAGTTCAAGAAAGAACACGGAAAGGCTCGGTGGATTAAGAGGTAGAAACGATAGTGGTTTGGTATGATATTTTTGAATAATGTATAAAATTATAAATTATTAAAATTTGATTTAAATTTGAATTGAATTTTTGTATAAATCAAATTAGATTTTATTAGTTTGATTTCATTTAGTTTATAAATTTTTTAAATTTATTTTTTATATATTATTTTAGTATATTTAAATAAATTTAAATATAAAATAATTATTTTTATTTTATAAAAATTTTTAAAAAATAAAAATTAATAAAAATATATAATTTAATTCGATTTAATTTTTTTATTTTTAATCTAAAATTTAATTAAACGTTAATAATATTTAAAATATAAATTAAATTCGAATAGAATAAAAAAAATTCAAACTAAATCTAATATTAAATTTTAAATTGATTTTTAATTTTATCGATTCTTAAGTGGCGTTGTAAGGTTTTGAGTGAAGTGGAGCAGAAAGACAGGCTGTGGTGCGACTACTGCCAGGTGTTGGAACGAAAGGGAACACTAGCTTCTGTGACTTGTGTATATCATTAGCACCACCAGCCTCCCCTCCCCCTCCCTTCCGCTTCGGCCCTTTGGCTCTGTTTCCTCGGTTAGTTGCATTAGGTGTTCGAAGGAAGATTTTTTTTCTTTATTTTTGTTCGATGGTGACGTTGCGGTCACGTGGAGTCGGTTGGGCCTTTGGATTCTTCTCCCTTGACTTTATCAAGCGCAGAGCCAGAGCTTACTCGCGTGGCTTGCTCTTGATTTTGATATTCATTATGTGTACGATTGGGTCTCGCAATTTCGGCCATGTTCTCGTTATTTTCAGCTATCTTTGTTGACAGGGGGATAAGATTTGACTATTTTGGTGCCGATAAAACTATTGGACTTTACACTCTGTGGACAGTAATCAATTGCATTAACCCAGCATAATATCGCCGATTAAATACAGTTGATGCCTTTTCTTATCACCGTTTATGTGATAGCAATGTTCTTTTGGAAGCCAGCGGATTTCATAGTTGATTTTCGAGGATCATTGTATTTATAAACATGATTAATTTTTATTTGTACAGTCAATAATTTATAGAAATCATAATTTTTATTTGTACTGTCAATAATTTATAGAAATCAATCATTTGTAAGTTGTTAATTAAAACTATGATATGTTTTAACTTTGAAAATGAATAGATTCCACTAAATTTTTTTCAAAAAGAAAACAAAAATGATGTCATAAAATAGGATAAGGAAAACACAGTTTAGCTCTAAATCCACATGAGATCAGAAGACATTGGCTAAGTCATCCAATTCCAATTATTCCATTTTCTCATTCTTTAGATTAAAATTCACATTAATTTAGATGATTAATGATGTATATTAATTTTATATATTTTTAACTTGAAATTTTTTTTAATTTTTTAGAAAAATTTAAGCATATATTTTGTATAATTTTTTAAAATTAAACTTTAGAATAGTTTTTTAGGCACTATTAACAATAATTAATTACTTAAAATAAAAAATAATTTTTATTACTATTTACTTGTTATCATCTAATGGCACTGTATGAATTTGCTTGCCAAGACGCAGAGACTGAGTTATGTACATTTAACTTTCAAGTCTACATGTCAAAAGGGTCATTCTATGATCCTGCAGACAGTGGCCATGGAGAAAGACAGTGTCAAGTCTTCAACCAGAAAGAAGGCTTTATCTCTGACCCTTGTAATAATTTTTCTTAGGGCAGTTGTTCTAGCCATTCTGTCAAGCACCATTGTTTATGTTTCCTTGCAGAGGGTAAAACTGAGGGAGAAGGTAATAGCACCTCTTTTTTTATCAGAAAATGAATCACAAAATTTAGGGGTTTTCCATTTGCTTACAAGAGGTAAGGTACATTTGAAATACAGGGATCAGAGGGGAATCTACCTTTTGAACTAAGGTATTTAAGGACATCTCAAAGTTGGAAAAATCAGAAGAAAATTTTTTCTAAATCTTCCAAATTTCTTTCACGAGCGCTCCAAACATTGAAAAATAAGAAAAAAACACTTTCAAAATGATTTCATTAGCACTTTTTCTACAATTGATAGATCCGTCAATAATTTTGTGTATATATATATATATATATATATATATTATCAGTGAACCTAAATTATATTCCAATCCATCATTGACTGAGATATGGGTAAACATTCAAAGAAATTCTGCACTTCACTTGTATGACAGTGAAACACATGTCAAAGACCTAATAGATTCAGAACGGTTTAAAGTAGATGATACAGATGGCATAGAGGTACATTTTTTTTTTCATTTTTGAAAGTATTCTAGATGCTACAAAAAAAAAACTTCTCAAATGCAAATAATCCAGGGCAAGGGGGATTTGGGCCTGTTAACAACGTGATAGGATTCTACTACTCTTTAAAATCCATCTTTCTAATCTTGTTTGGTTAAAAACGAATGCTGAAAACGGGAATTTACTACCAGGGTAACTTTCCAGGAGGGGAAGAAATTGCTGTAAAGAGGCTATCAAGTGGTTCAGGACAAGGCTTAGAGGGATTCAAAAATGAGGTCGTGCTGCAAGACTTCAACATCGAAATCTTGTTAAGACTTTTAGGCTATTGTGTTGCTGGAGATGAAAAGATGTTACTCTGAGTATATGCCTAATAAAAGCTTAGATTCCTTCAAATCAGATGTCTTTAGCTTTGGTGTTGTTGTAATTGAGATCATCACTGCAAAGAGGGACACCAGATTTTACCAGCCTGAACAGTCTTTGAGCCTTCTCGACTAGGTAAGTAATGGTCTGCTTTTCTCTCCTTCCCTTTTAACATACTGATCTTATTCTCTACCTAGTGCCAATTGCCATTGTACAACTGTCCCAAGGCGTGGCATTTGTGAAAGGCAGACAGGGTATTAGATTTGTTGGAGCAGACACTGCATGAGAGTTGCAATGCAAACGAACTTCGAAAGTGTCTAAATTTTGGGCTCTTGTGCGTACAAGAAAACCCGACTGATCGTCCAACCGTGTCACAGGTAGTTTTCATGTTAGCAGCGAAAAAGCATATCTTCCAGCTCAAAAACAACCGGCCTTTGTAGCAAGGCGAAGCCCTTCTAGCCGAGCTTCTTCATCTAGCAACCCAGTGACTTTTTAGCAAAATGAGCTAACTGTTATTTTGGAAAATGATAGATAGTACAAAGCTCAGAAAATGTCATTTCTACATCTACAAGTATAAGAAGCAAATTTTGTCTTCTTTTTTCTCCTATCTTCTAACTGCATATCATTTGATATTTCAGACTGCCCGCAATTTTGCAATTGTTGTGCTTGATTTTGTTTGAACATAAACTGCATTTGGCAGTTTCTGCTCCAGAATTGCCTATTTCTTCAAGAATATTACATAAATTCTAAGCTCCAAACAACATTTTTGCTGCCAGCCAAACATTGTATTCCTGATTGTATGTCAGGTGACACGGAAACCTAACTAATTCCTAGCAATGGAAAGGGATTAGCAGCAAAGGGCACCAATTCCAGGCAGGCCCCTGGCTTAAGTGTTGGGTGTTCTTAATCCCAGATTTTAGCCCTTTCGGACTCTGGGATTCTGAAATAAAAAATTCAGGGAAAAAAATCAAGAAAACAGAGAATCAGTCCTTTCAATCGTCGTGGAAACTTGACCATGCTTACTAGTAGGAGACTCTTAAAAGGTTAGGCAAACTGAATTTGCTGCTCCATATCTCACCTAAAAAACAAAAGAACATGCTCCAAATTCATTGTTAAAAAAACCATTTGAATTTTGGCATTATTAGATATTCCATTTTTATTTACGAGCTTAGGTTTTTTTTGGCCAAAGATTTACTAGCATATGTTAACGGCGAATATGTTGTCCAAGAATTAAATGTTGAATTTAACACTGGAATTTGGGCTTTGGGCATTCTACCACCAAAAGTCTACAACTAGGGTCTTGGGCTTATATAAAAGTTCCGACTGGTAAGCTTGCCATTGACTGTCAATGACAAACAGGCATTGGCCCAACAGTCAAGTGAGAAAAACTAAATTCGACAATGCAAATGAGAGTGCTTGGGCCGGCTTGGGGTGAAAAAGGAGGAAAAAAAATCTAGTCATTCTGGTATCATGTTACGTTGTTTGGTGTTAAATATGCATAAATATAAAAATTATTGTATAATAATTCATATATTAAATAAGAAATATATTTTATTAATTTTATCAAATTTATATATAATTTTTATCAAAATTTTAAATTTTAGCATTCATATTTTTATATCTTCTTCCTCATTTGACAATATCAGTTTGAATGGTACGTAGCCACTAATTTTGATTATCACATTCACCAAAATTGCCAAAATGATGACTGAGAAGTCTCAAAATCAAAGAGCTCCGTCCACCAAGAAGGTAAGCACCGTGTGTTTTGTCATTCGTGCATTAACTTTGTTTATTTGAAAAAATGGTGTTGACTCTTGATAGGTACAAGAAATTCTTTTAGCTTACACGCGTCCAATTCACGTAAAAGTTCGTGGGGAGTGCGGGTTCATTCATTGCTACTTTCCTTGATTTTCAAGTCATTTTTTCCTCTCTTTGCCTTCCCTGAAAGGAACCAAGTGTCATGCGTTTGCTTCTACCATGTTTAATTTGTTGATTAAACTTTCAATGTTATACGTATTCACACAAGCTTACTTCCGATTGTTGGAAACGTGAAAGCTTTTGCATCGGATATTTAGCTTTTATCAATTAAGGAATGTTCCAAAAAGATTTCCATTGCATTCACACAATCTTACATCTTATGTTCACCAATTTTACGCAACTGTAACTTTACGACATTTTCTTGTTTGTTGCAATTTGTACTGAAAATCCCAAAAATCAAATCATGAAATGGATTTTTGAAGAACAAATGCAATGTAGTGATGCACTTTCTTCTCGTGAAAAAAAAATGATTAGGGAAAAAGTATATGAAGAAGGTATGTTCCTCGACGGAAAGATTGATTTGGATAAGTAGGCATGAGTTCATGAACTTTCTCTGCATCAGTACCACCAATGCAAGCTTCAATTTATATTTAAATATTTAATCCATGTTTATATATTTTTATATAATTCCAATTCATCTCTGTTATTGATTGTCTCTCGTGGATGAACATACATGCATTCTTGATGTGAAAAAGGGATTGGGTATTTCTCAATTGCAACTTGCAACTAATTTTCCTAGAAAAAACCAAGAAGAAGATCATCATTCTTTATGAAATATCACCCATCTTTTCCAAAAAATTAAAAAAAAAAAGGCAAAAAATTATCAAGAAGAAATTCATGTACTTAACCATTAAGTTTTTAGCCTTAAATTACCCATCTAATCTAAGATTATGTAATTATGTAGTTAAACATAATATTAGGAATTATGATATTATAATTAAAATAGGCCAAAACAAAAGAAAAAAAACTATCATTTTACTTAGATAAGAACAATACTTTTATTGCACCAAATTAAGTCATTGAGATATACTTTACATTTAAATAAATCCTTCAACTTTAATTTGTATATAAATAAATCATTAATATTTAATTTGTATTTAAATAAATTTTTAACATAAATCAATATTTTGTTTGAAATAAAAATATATTTAAATATAATAAAAGTACAAATATTTATTTAAATAAAACAATAAAATTTATAAATTTTTTTAATATTTTAATCATTCAAATATACAATATCTTACAAGGTACTATCTTTAAATAATGAGAATGCATATAAATAGAATACTTATGTAAATTTTTAATTCTATTAAATATAAAATTTTTACTTTTTTTTTGTTATATTAAAAAAGTAAAATTTTAATACACATAAAAAAAATAATTTAAAATTAAAATTTTGATGTCTCTTTAAACAAAGGATTTTAACCACTAAATTTGAGGACTAAACTTGAGGACGATTTCCTACTTTTCAAACGTAGTATCAAGGCTTGATTTTATCTAAAACATTAACATTTTTAATGGTCTTATCAAAGAAGCTTCCTTCGTACAACTATTTTCCCTGTCAGATTATTTTCAAGTCAAAAGGAGAAATAGCAAACAAAGGAGAAATAGCACACATTAAAAAATTCAAAAAAAAAAAAAAAGCACCCTTGACGTTTGACAACAACTTCTCCGAAACAGAGGCTGCTCCAGACTGCAGGAATCAAAGTCGACCCGCAATAAAGCCGTGTTCCTTTGCTGTCGTACATAGGGAAAACTTAAATCCATCCACTTTCCAAGAAAAAACTCCGACAGCTCGTCTCCCTTGTATATATATTGCCCGCTTAAAATACCCCTACACATCTCAAAATATAACAACTTTCTTTGGAGATCATAGTCAGCAAGTTACACAATCCATCCTAAGATTAATGGCAGGGTTTGGTAAAACAGGTCTTGATTTCGAGGATTTATTGCCAGTGATGGCGGAGAAGCTGGGCGGAGAAGGGCTGATTAGGGAGCTGTGTAATGGGTTCAATCTGTTGATGGACAAGGACAAGGGGGTCATCACACTGGAGAGCTTGAAGATGAATGCGGCAAGCCTACGATTGCAAGATTTAAGAGACGAGGAGATTGTGAGCATGATTAGAGAAGGTGATCTCGATGGCGATGATGCTCTTAATGAGATGGAGTTTTGTGTACTGATGTTCAGATTAAGCCCTGGATTGATGGAAGAGTCACAGTTGTTGCTCGAGGAGATTCTTGAAGACGAGCTCAACACTGCTGGGTTCTAACGCGATTTTATTTTGTCCCCTTTTTTCTTTCTTTTCGTCTTTCATTTTTCTCACAGATGACAAAAGGGGCATTGAGCAAACATTACTTTGTTTAATATGGCAATCATCGAATAATAAATTGCCTTGGCATATAATAGCATAATAATTTTTTTTAACCAGCTCCTATTTAATTTTCTCCCATCTTTTTTCTTGATCGGACAGGTAGGCAGGAGGTAATATTTGATAGAGCTAGAACTACTCAAATCCGAATAAAAGAAAAAAGAAATCATTTGGAACCAACTGTTTATAAGCCACTATTTTCTTTTTTTCTTTTTTTTTTTTAAGTTTTTACAATTGATTTAAAAGTTAAAAATTTTTGTTAGTATATAAATTTTATATTTTATCAATAAATCAAACGATGACAATTTATTAATAAGATGAATTTAACGATAATATCTCATTAATAAATAAATAATTTTAATTTATATATATTTATTTTAAAAATTAATATTTATTTATTAATAAATTATTATAATTTTATTTATTGATAATATATAAAATTTATACATTAAAAATATATTAAATATAATTTTTTTTTATTTAATTAAAAAGTCCACTGGGATTTAGACGTAGGGCTTTTAACTTTTTAAAGCCTAATTTTAAAGGAAAGAAGAAACAATGAAGTTAAAAGATAAAGGGCCTAGTACTATAGGCCTATTTTTTTTTTTTCCACAAATTGTACTGTCACACATTGTCTTTCAAATACCAGCTAGATCCTTAGAAAACAACCATATCAAAACTTACAGGGCGGAGACTCATGTGCATAGTAGGTGCTCAAGTTCCCTTTAAGACCAAAAATATTTTAAAATTATATGCATTTTATACAAAGTCTAAAAAATTTTATTGATTCATTTTATTTGTTAAGATTAGTATTGACATTATAAGAAAATAGAAGATTAGTGATAGTTTTGTGACAGCATTTTATTTACAAATACCGTTAGCTTATGTGTTTTTATAAAACTTAAGATGTTTATTATTAAAATACTATTAAATATTTAAATAGCGGTGTTTTTTTACTTATAAACACCATTCAAGATAAATTAGTGGCGTTTATTAACTAAAACACCTTGAATAATTATCTTTAAAAAATTGAAGTGATTACTGAAAGTGTTTTTGACAAAAAATGCTTTGAATAATCACATAAAAAAATGGATAAGAGATTACTGAATACATTTTTGGTAGACAACGCATCGAATAATCTCCTCATAAAAAAATGTAAGCTATTATTGAAAGCATTTTCTGCAAGAAATACTTTTTATAATTTCACTAAAAAATTGTAAAGGATTATTGAAGGTGTTTTTGGTAAAAAACACCTTCAATAAATATCTTATCAAAATTTAAGGATCATACAGTTATTAACCATAAGGTCATAGGTTCAATCCCTCCCTTTAGCTTTTTTTGAGTTTTTGAAGGAATTATTTGTAAGGGATTATTCTAGGCGTTTTCTGAGCAAAAACACCTTCACTAATCCATTTAAAAAATTTTGGAGAGAGAATATTAAAGGTGTTTTTGACAGAAAAATACTTTCAATAATCCATAGAAAAAAATTTGGAATGGATTCTTAAAGGCATTTTTGACCAAAAGTGCATTTAATAATTCAATCAATAAACTTTTATAAGAGATTATTAAAGGCGGTTTTGATAAAAAACACCTTCAATAATTCATACAAAAAAATTGAAACAGATTCTTGAAGGTATTTTTAGCCCAAAATGCCTTTAATAATCCATATAATAAATTTTTATGAGGGATTATTGAAGGTGGCTTTGGTCAAAAATGCCTTTAATAACATTTTGTTAGGGAATATTCAAGGCATTTTCTGACTAAAAATGCCTTTAGTAATCCCATAAAAAAAACTTTGATTTAATTATATATGTGAAGTCAGTTATAGGTTTATACCAAGAAAATATTTGAAGTTAGTTGTAGGTTTATGCCCAGAAAATATTTGGTTTATATATGTAATACTATGAATTACTTTTTAAAAATTACGTTATGAACATTATTGTATTTCAATAAATTGACCATATATCTGAATTTAAAATTGATAACGTTGCCATATTAATATGCTTTTCTCCAATAATCATACTTAATATATGTGTATTCATATAAAACAAATATATACCAATAATATTAAAGCAATACCCCAATCTACAAACTTTAATTATCCATTCAACACGGCATATTAAAAACATTATAAAAAATTATTCTCATATATTTACATTCAACCAACAATGTCTGACCTCAATATTTATCAATAAATGATAATACATGCTCACACCACTCTTGACAAACTTTATCAAGTTCCTCTACCATGAAGTTTTTTTTACTCTCCCACTAAAAAAAATATCAGAAGTATATGTTAATAAATGAGAACATAATTTAGCTAATTTTTTTTGAAGATATAATGACTTTATGAAATTTATACTAACCTTGAATAGTTTGGTCATAAAATCATATAAAACTATATCTCGCATAAAACGAAGGATATAATATCCACATTCAGTATATCCGAGTTGATGAGATACTTGAAAATTAAATTTAGTGGGTTTAAGAAATATTTATCTATACAAACTCAGCATAAAAGAATAAATTTCACATTTACTAATATGACACCCATTTTTTTCTTTGCCTTCTTATCAAATGCAGATATTACCCTAAATTGAAAAGAAAAAAATTACTTAATACATAAATAAAATTACTTATGAAGAAACAGGAGATATATAATATAATAACATGTAATATCTCTTTATAAAAGTTTGAATTTCGGGGTTAGGCATTGCCTTTGGTTGAGCTGAATTAAGTAAATATGGCATCAAAGATTTGGTATCAATCACAATTAGCTGCCAATGACGACTGTAAAATAATAAGAATGATATACTGAGATTAGGCATCATATCAAATTTGAGTGAGGTTGAAATAATTATTTGTATAAATATAACTTATTGTGCATTATACAGGAGCAAATAATAATCAATCGATTTTTTTATGCAATCAATCACATGATTAGCACGAAAAGCAACTGTGCCACTCTGTTCACTAATGAAGTTGGGGTCAACAAATCTAAATCTGTGGGTTATTTGTCTTACCTTGACCTCTCTCTATATAGAAAGCTGTATGATAACGATTAATAATACTAGTTAGTAATACACTGTAATATAGATTAATACATATTGAGTTTGTATGTTTGTATTTATAAGCTAACCTCATATAAGCAACAATATCAACAGCTGATATTTCATCCAGTTCACAAAATTCTTTAACTTCGTCCACACCAATGTAAGAAAACGATGGTTTATCAAATAACCCTTCCTCAAACTCAATGGTTATGCAATTTTTTCTAGATAAATGATTGAGTGAATAATTAGATAACTCATTCATGATAGCCTGAGCAAGGGTCAGACTCTGAGTCCCAACATCTTGCTACAATATATAATGAAATATAAGTATTAAAACTAAATCAATAAATATAATAAACAAATTAATTTTAAACTTATAAACAAAATCATACTTCATGGCTAGTAGCAAAGGTTGAGTTCCCTGTCTGACTTTCAACGAAAGCTTGTCCTATGTAGATGATGCTATCCGATTGCCCTACAGGTATGCTATGCTGCGTTGTTGCCAACATGGCCTCTAAAGTAGTGAGTCTTTGCTATTGTTTATTAAGGCGTTACTCCTGATCATCAAGTCATTGTTGTTGTTGCTCAATGATTGCTTCATATTGTGCATTTGTCATTTGAGGGGTTTTGGGTTGATTACTAAAAAATTTTGTTGGCAACACAAATTTACCAACCCCACGAACTCGACCAGGCCTTTCTTTAGCTCATAATGTAAAGACAATGGATCTTTACTATACTGAGTTACCAATTCACCAGATTTAACTTTAGTAGTATAATCATTTTGAAAGACAATAATAAGATGGGCTGTAACAACAAATCTATACAAGCTAGTATAGAGTCATGCATACAATCACAATGTCAATCATACATGACATTAAACAAGTAGTTATACATATAATCTTTTTAGCTAATTTTTTGGTTGCTTCATCTGCAAAAGATCCATCTTTTTACAGATATCCTTATTTTTAGATATCTCATCTAAAAACTTCGGTGCTAGAGCTCGCTGATTTCTAATAAATTTTCATAATATAAGAATCAGAATCTATGAAATAAATGTTCATAAATATTCATTTATGAGTATAACCCAAGTGTGCGAATACTTACAAGCTCATACTTCACATTTGTATATCCTTTTCTCGTTGTTTGATGGTGATATATTTATTTGGCCTGAATGTTCTTTCGATTTTTTTTTTTTACAAAAGAAAGAAATTACGTCAATCACTTATGAAAATATCAAATATATTGCATAAAATCTTATAAACAATTTTTTTGTTAATGGGTTTGCCTATTGAGAAATCTTCTGATAGTTGATCTCGAACAAAATTTCTTCAATCTTCAACACTTATTACATCTGCATATGACGTTGGTGGAACAACCAATACATCACCTTGATCAGCGAGTGATAAAATATATTGGGTTGTCAATCTACTTTTAAAGTCTCTGAATGTTTTCCCAACAGATTGCAATACAATCCTTTTATAGTCAATTAGGACGTTGAACCGTTCCTAAATAATTTAACACAATTAGTATGAACACATTAAATTTTAATTAAATAATCATTTAACAAATTTTATGAAATAGTTGAATAAACATACCATAGCTGACTGCCATATACTATCTTTTAGATCATCAGAAACTTATCGCCAGTTGGTATATGTAATTGAAATACTATTACAGACTATGGCACCAATATGAGTAGTCAACTTGGCAGCTCTATCAGACACAGGTTGCCCACTTTGATTGAAGTTTATGTGAATTTTTGTGTCACTTACTTTAATTTATTTATTTCGTCCCCTTTTTTTTTTTTTTAACCTACAGGTGTGTCTTGTGCATATTCAATAGAAAAAGAATTATGTTGTTCAGAGTCTATAATACCTGTGATTTTGATTATAATTATACGAAATACACCAAAATGACTATCTAAATTTAATATTGTACGTAATAAAATACAACCAATATCATACTACATATAGAAACACCATTCAGTAAACCATTTAGAAACACTGTTCAAGAAATCATTCAAAAATACCATTCAGCAAACCAATATTATACAATACCATTCAACAAAATAATATCATACAATACCATTCAGTAAACCACAATATTTAAACAAAACTACATAGAAACACTATAGAT